AGAGCCCAGATTGTGCGGTGTTGTATAACTGTCTTTTGTTCACGAACCTGGCTTAGTGCACTGCTGACCTCTTTTCAATAGGGGCCAGATTAGCGTGCAGCGGTGCTGTGTGGCTCATTGCTACGGTGGTGGAACGCTTTTGTCCCCAGTGGTAATCTGCTCGCTCTCAATGCCCCAAACCCCAGTATACGGTTTCAAAACAAGGCTGGATTATCACCACTTTTGAGAGTGAAAAATGTCAGTAATGCCCAGCAACCTGGTCTTTTGTTTGGAGTACGTTCTTTTGTTACAGGGCCCTGTTTCCTTTGTCCGAGTTCGCAGACCCCGGCCACCCATATAAACCATATGTCTCCAATCCCGGAGTCCCCGGCAGGAAGTGGTCAACGTCCCAAATGTGACTGTCACATGGTGTTGGTGGTCTAAGTGCGTAAACACTTTCAAAAACTGGGTAATCATCGGGTGACAACCTACACTAGCACCATCTTTTAGCACAACAAATGATGCCACTGCACTTCTGGCAACATTAAGAGAACTGTAACCCAGTCCCAGTTCAAACAATGAAGTTAGGAAAGCTACAACTTCAACTGCATCTGTCTGCATCGGATTACTCTGTCACTGACCACAAGTTGATCCATCTTTAAATGTATCCATCTGTCTGTATCAGATTACTCTGTTGTTGACCACAAAACTTGATCCATCTCTCAATGTATCCATAATATTGTCATTTAGCTGACTGTCGCCATGAAGACAGGATAATTTCTGTAGCCTTTACTGGTATTCCTGTGCTCTCAGTGGATTACCAGACAGCCTGCAACAAACCAAATCCAGTTTACCATGTAAGGGATGTACTCGTATAGTGCCTGGCTAAGTCAGTAGTGCCTGTGGTTTTCGCAAAATAACTGGGTCATGGGTTAACATGTGTAGCAGGCATGGAAACCAAGGTTGTGTTGGCCATTTTGGAACAACCATCATGCCCTCAGCATTGTCTTCCCATACTTTGAGACATTTGCCAGTCAAACAGAAAGGGGGGAAAGCATGAAACCTGATTTGTTCCCACCTGAGGGATAAGGCATCAATTGCCTCTGCCCCAGGATCAGGCTCCCATGAGACATATCTGGGAAGTTGAGCATAAGCCTCGAGGCAAAGAGATCCACCTTGGGTGTGTATTCTTCACAAAGTATTTGGAAAACTTATCGGTTTAGCATCCACTCTGTCTCATCCTGAAATTGCCTGGATTTCCTGTCCGCTGTAACATTTTGAACTCCAGGTAGATGAGAAACTGACACCCATATGGATCTAGAAATACATCAAAGCCATAGCTCCTTTGCTAGCTCATTGCAGTCTCCCATGTAATTTATATAGGCCACCGCAGTAGTGTCGTCAAGATTGAGTTTGACATGTACAGAGTAGAGTTTGCTACAAAAGGATTTTATGCTAAGGAATGCAGCCAAGAGCTCAAGGATGTTGATATTATTGGCAGCTTTCAACTTTTCAGTGTCCTTCCAGCGGCCTCCAATAGCAGTGGTGCCATCTGTAGCACCCCATCCTTGTTTTGACGCATCTGAGGCAATTTTCAAGTCAGGTGCCCCCCGGCTAATTTTGGAAAAGACAGTGTCAATAGTATCTATCCACCAACTGATCTCATTCCGAGCGGCCCTGGAGAGTTTCATCTGCCGGTCAAAGTGACCAAAATTGTTTCTGAGGGCAATGGTTTTT